GCAAATCATTAATAATCTCCCACACTCTCATTTTACAGAATTGATTTCTTAAAAAGTTGTCAAATTCGAAAAGAACTGGTGCAAATCGCTTATCGTTTTTTGAAATCACTGCTGACAGCCTATACCTGAAAATCTTTGTGAATGTGCTAATTACCCAAACCTATCTTTGCTTATTGACACAGTGACGAGGATAATAATGAAAAATGCTGAACTGGCTAATGTCATATTCTATAAGCAGCAGAGAAATATTCTTACCTCAAAATATGTTCCACTTACTCAGAACCCACGAATTTTTCGTTTTTCACCGCAGCTATACTATCGGAGCATGAAGAGTGAGAAAACCATACGCAAACTTTTTACTGCATTACAAAGCGATACGATTTCTAGATACTTTTTCGTCCTTTTAAAGTTCTTCTTATGACAGCCGTGTCTCTTACAACTCACGCAAAATGTTGCATTACAACATTGCTTACGCCTTAATTTTTGGAGAACATTATGTTTTTCGACAATTTCACATTTTCCACAACAACTATACAACATGATGGTATGGTAGACAGTGATTATGTTCATCAAACTCAGCCTATAGTACAACTTGATAACAGGAGATGAATAAATGCGAAGTTTCCATGCATACCTTGATTTTTCTCAGATAATACTTCACCTCACAGAAACTTGGTTTGGTATGTTGTTGTCAAAATGACACCTACCCAGCAGTACGGCCTATACCGCGTAAGTTTACCACAACAATCTTAATGATACTACTTATATAGTCTTCAATGAAAGGAAAGTCAGTGACATCAATATATTGATCTTTGCCTTCGGACTGTAACTTCATAAAAAGAGAAAGATTATCTTCAAAGCTAGATGCTCAGATAATCCAGTAGAGCTTCCGCACCTGTGAAGCCTAACTCACAGTGAATTCTCTTCCAATTACTATTGATGCCATCTTTATCCTTTGAAGCTGGGTTGTATAACATCGAAACCCACATGAGTCGCAGCGATGCAGACAGTGCATCAGCTGGGGTGGCGGACTTTATGAACGATAGCTATTGGGGACGCGCTTGGTGCATAGCTCGTCGCACAAAAATAATCATAATCACTTTCTTCACCCTACTAGTAGTTTCTTTAAGTTTGTAGAGCCTTCGAAAAACTTCTAAAGACCAAAACAACACAAAAGTTCCGTATACATTTATTCTTTTTTGTAAGTGTTCCATAGCTTTATCCGAGCTTACATGTAACAATTCCTTTGAGTTTGGCCAGTTTTATAGAAAGATGTTCGATATTTCGTACATAACCCGTATCTAAAATGTTTTTTTTTCAATAATTTCAGATTAAGTAGGCATT